GAAAAGATTGAATAGGAGGAGGTTGCAAGGAAGACTATTGTATCATTCCTTTTTTATTATGGAAGAAAGTTGTAACGAAGGTTGTAATTTTCTTCCTTTGCTAAGTCAAAAAACGGATTTCTTTTGATTTTGAAACTGATGTTTTCTCTCTTCCCTTATTCATTATGGAGCTATAATTAAATTCTTAATATTTTGTAATAAATGAGTTCTTATAACTACAACAATATATCTTATTATTAGACAAATGAAAAGTAGAGAAAAGGGTCAAAAAAGGAGAAAAAAGATAAATACAATCCTTGGCCAATGAGAGGTGCCAAGTCACATTTTCTATTCTCACCTTTATATATACAAAGAGAGAGATTGTTATAGAGAATGACAGTTATAAAGAAATTTGACTATATTTGTCAAATATCTCCAACTATGTATCATAACGAGTATCTTATTAGCTTAGCATTAGAAATTCCATAAGAGAAGCGAACAGATCAACTAGAATAAGACCAAGAAAGTATCACCATGGGATTTCCTGGAACTTGTGAGTCTTACTGAAACAAAAGTACACGTTAAGTACATCTTCTTTATTTTCTTCTCTCCTTGACAGCATGTTCCAAATAAAAATTGGACCCTGTTCCATAACTCAACATATAACAAGGCCATGATACCTAACTAAAAGACGATTAAACATTTCAACGTCAAGCTACGGAAGCTCAAGAAGTTGATAATGCAGAGGACATATCAGCATGCCCTCCCACCATCCTCTCGGCCTTCTCTCCCCGTTCTCCTGTTACAGTGTAGCATAGATTCATTACAAGCAATAACTTTTGACCTCTGTAAAGGAGGCGAAGTTCAGATGACAAATCAACCTAGGAAGACAAATAACTCATTTATAAATGAAAAAGGACTCATCATCAAAACTTTCTGCTTACCAGTGCGAACTCTTATCACATCAGAGATGGGAATCACTGCGAAAGAAAATGAAACAGCATCAACAATTCACCATAAAACTAACAACATTAGAATAGATTAATAGTAAGCAAACTTTTATTTTGCTTAAAAAGTAAACACATTTTAAATTATACATTGTATATTAATTTGTAATATATCAAACTAAATATTCAACAAGAAATAGTTCTTGCATTAGAATCCTTACATTACTAATCTCTACGTTATTAATCCATGCAATACTAATACCAGGATTACAATCTCTGCATCGCTAATCTCTACCTAACTTGTCTCTAAACCAAACGACCCCTACCAATATCCCAAAAGATGGCCAAACTTCAATAGCCTCTTTGAATTCATGGTCTCTGAAAAACATTTCTTGCAAGGACAAACATTTTATTGTTAGATTATGTGCTAAGATGCCATTACAATCTTCGGAATGCAGCTATACCATGAAAACTAAGTTGCTCGGACACGGGTGCGAGTTCGAGATCTAAATTCTAAGATTCGGGGATATGGATCCTAGTATGGATACGGGTGAGTGGATCCGGCTAAAAATAATTCAAAACAATCAAAATATCTCTAAATTATAAGAAATTTTCTGAAATATTTACGTATAGCTTGTAAAATGTGTATTTCTTTTTTATTCTCAAGTTGTAGATAAGTAATTGATTTCCTAGATAAGGCATGCTATTTTCTTCAAATTTACCCTAATTTTGGTTCTGATTTCGGGAATCAAATTGTATTTTGTCCGGAATTGTTCCGTCCGTCATGGTGAAAGTACCCAAAATTATTTGACTAGATCTGGTACGAATCCCATACCCACACCCATACTAGTATCGTGTCGACACGAGTGCGGTATCTAAACTGCTGTGTCGAAGAAACTTGGCATGAAACAAGAACTCCAGAGTAAAATAGTACATTAACTAGGCTTTGCCTAGTGGGCCACCATTGGTATTTTTGTATTGGCAGTTCTCTCAAAATATAATGCAGCACTCTAATCCCTATTACTCCACACGCGTTCGAAGTTGTGAAGATGTTCTAAAAAATAGCTATGTTAACATGAGAAACTGAGATAATTATGTGATTCAGATCTTTGCTATATCTTTGGTTTTCTTTCTTTTTTTCAGTTGTACGAACACTCCGATTAGACTGAGAAGATGGTTAAATTGAGCGAATGGAAAGGCCTACCTGAGCACTTAAGGTCAGGTGGTGAACATGTGTCATGAAAGTAGTAAAAGTGAGAACAAAAGCTTGCCACAGATTAAGTAGCTTATGACGCTCAAGTTAAAAGTTCAAACAACATCACTTGTGACTATGGTATTGGCAATGAAATAGGCTTCCTATTGATAGTTTGAAACAGATAAGACAAGCCCCACTCAAGCGCAGACATGTGAACTGGTTTCACTGGAAACTTAAAAGGACAGAGCGCTTATGCTCTTTGATAAATTTTCTATAGCTACCTGTATCTTTTTACTTAAAACATAGAAGAATGATTTTGAACCATTAACTGGCCACCTGCTAGTACAACCTAACCATTAACTTGAGCACAAAAAAAAGGTCTTCTAGCATCAGACAACCTTTTGTTTGATGATCCAGTCCAGGCTTGGCTTGACATTTTGGTCAGAATAGATGAAATTAAGAATAAAGGCATACTCCTTACATGAGAACACACCCACCAAACAAAAATACCGTGAAAGGAAAATGTAGAAGAGTGTGCATGTGTATATTGATAAATCATAAATGTATGTAAATCATATTTTCTCATAAGATGTTCAAATATTTAAGAAGGTAAGCATCAACCCGAGGAAAGATCAATGGGGCTGGGATTTAATTAAATTATTATGAACAAGTCACTGATGGCTTTCCTTGTCTGATAAAATTGAAAAGAAAAGATCAATGGATTTGAGATTCCTACAGCCTTTTAATCTTATTTTAAAATTTTGGGCTAGTATTTTCTATCTGTTTCTTCTGGTATACCTACATCAGTTTACAGTACACCACGTATCTCAATGGAACCAAAAGATTTTATTTGAACAAATATGATTTGTCATTGCAAGCACCTTTTAAAAGCCTTGGTGGTATTGTTTTTTCACGCTGCATGTGCAACCGCACTAAGATTATTGCAAGCTTTTCATTTACTTTTGCTGTTCTTAGGACATTGACCAAATAAATGGAATGGCTCAACCTAGAAGTTAAGTTGAAGAACCAGGATAACTGGATTAGACGAGACACCTGAGAGATTGCAGGAACCTAAATTTGCTCAGCTTTTCGGTTTTAAAAGTCAAAATTAGTTAAAAGTAGACCATCAAATTCAACAACAGTATGAAGCAGTAGGTGAAAAGATATCAGCTACATATTGAAGGCCACTAGTTTAACCAGTCTGCCTCTCTTTTTTTTCTCTTTGGCACCAAAAAGGAAAGGACAGGTTTATGTTATATATGCACTTCATTTTGCATTGATGATACCTATATTGGAGTGATACTGGTATATGCACTTCAATGTGAATCCTTCAGAATAAACGAAACACATATTTACAACTGAATGCATCTGTATTTGTTCTATATCCATATCCAATATTCATGCCCTAGGTATAGATAACATATATGTGGTTAGGAGAAAAAATATTCCCCTCAGCAACCAGGGGACCGCCAATGCACCTACATTGGGGCAGAAGATAAGGTTATCCATGTGCTTAAGTCTTGAAGAGTGGAATTACTTGCTAACCCCTCTGCGTTATTGGAATTAATTCAAGTAATGCACACAAAAAGCAAAAACTGACTTAGTAGTGGAATTACTCATATTCCCATATAAGATCTCGCTCTTTTAACACTAAGTTCCTCATCTTCCTCAAAATTAAGCAGTCACAAAAAACACGTCGTCTTCAAACATGTTTGACAAATGGGTAAGCCCTCTACCCGTGAAGGTAAATATCTGTTCGGAAACAACATTGCAAGTAACAGACTATGTGTCACACCTTACCCGTACATAGGATGTGTCGCGATAAGAAAATATACATCATACTCATTGAGAAAACACTAACTAAACGCCCTCAAGCTTGGTTGGAGAATTTACAGCAAATCAATGTTCATATTAACATAGCTAGCGACAGAACTCCAGAATCAAGAAGAGAAAAACTTACAGAAGATCTTTCCATCACCAATTTCACCAGTTCTTGCCTCTTCAATTATCTTTGCAATGACTCCTTCAACCTAATAAGACAGTATTACAGGTTAGAAAACTTGTATATGCACAGCAGAGAGAAATAACACGGCAACCCTACACTTACACTTACAGAAAACCTGTATATACACAGAGAGAAACAACACATTAACCATGTAATCTTATAATGTACACATATGGTTTTGAATTATGGTGCCCAAAACTTGATCAAGGCCTTTAAAATCCGAACCTGGTCTTTGCTCACAACAATCTCCATTTTAACTTTTGCTACAAACTTGTCTTCAGAGAATTCAGAGCCTGCAAGCAGCAGATAACTTCAAAACCTGAGGAAGAGTCTGTTTAAGTAAGAATATCCATGACAACCTAAAACAATAAACAGTTAAAATTGATGAATTTTTTCCTTACCAGCTTGCCTCTCGGTCAAGCCACCTTGGGCTCCAAAGCCACGAACATCAGAGACAGTGACACCACGAATGCCCATTTTCAATAGTGCCTTCATAACGCAGAAAGTATGAGTAAATGATGGCATGTTTTAACTTTCTGGAGTAGAAGTGTTGAAATATCTTCAGGAAAATGTTTGCCTTCTGTTGGGTTTTGAAAAGGAGTTCAATAGATCATCACAAAATACATGGATAACTGTTTGGGCTTTAGCTTCCCGTATTGTTAAATGTTCTAGCAATACTGGTGGAATTTTTTTGTGTTCTTGTGTGTGCATTTGTTGGGGC